CGGGTTTTGGGGGAGTGTCTTGTCCCTAAACCCTAACCTAAACCTTCAAGCCTGCCGGCATCTGAAAATGCTGTTTTTGAGTTGCATTTCCTCCTGTGTTTGCGGCTGTCTGTAGCGCAGAAGCCTCAGCAATTTCAAGGGATGTTCTTTCTGCATCCTTTAGAAGCTGCTCCCACCCTGTAATAGTGGTATAATAGGAATATAATAGGGCCCTAATATAATCCTTATAGTCACTATTACAGGGTGGGGGCAGCTTCTAATGCGTCCTCGACAGTCTTTCTGCGTGGTGGCATCGTCCAACTCTCGGGATTCCGCTGTCATGTGGTGCCTCTGAGGACTCCTGTTCTTCCGAGGCTAGGGTTTAGGGCCGTTTAGGGCCGTTTAGGTTTTAGGGTTTAGGGCTTAGGTCTTAGGGTTTAGGGTTTAGGTATTAGGGTTTAGGGTATTAGGGTTTAGGGTTTAGGGTTTAGGGCACTGAGGCTCTTTGGGCCTTTGGTGTGTTGGAGCCAGTGGCGCGTAGGATTTTACAAGTACCCGTGTACGGCTTTGAGCGTCCACTGTGGGCTTCATTCCTTGGCAGAGATCAAACCGCTGTGCCAAAAAACATCAGATACAACATGCCTCTTGGACGACTGGGTCGGATGCTACTTAGTCATACATTGTACTCAGTAGGGTTGGGGACTCTACTGTGATTAGGGTAATCTGAGGGCCTGAATAAGGCACTCTTAGTAGGTCTTTGTTAATGAGTAAGGAGATGCCTAAGCCGTGGGGCTCTTTCTACACGACGTGTTGATCCATATCAGAGTTTGAGAAATATAGAATCCTGAATAGTAGGGTCCTTATTAGACGCCCCCCTAACTCATAAGGTACCCTAAACCCCTAAACCCTCAACCCTAAACCCCTAAACCCTAAACCCTCAACCCTAAACCCCTAAACCCTAAACCCTCAACCCTAAACCCCTAGACCCTAAACCCTCAACCCTAAGCCTTAAGCCCTGGCCCTAAAGCCTCAACCCTAAACCCTAAACCCTGGCCCTAAAGCCTCAACCCTAAACCCTAAACCCCGGCCCTAAACCCTAAACCCTGGCCTTAAACCCTGGCCCTAACTAAACCTAAACCTTAACCCCAAGCCCCTAAAGAACCCGAAAGCGCAGCAAAGGCTTCTTCAATCTCCTCGACTCGTCGTGTCCTAAGCAGTTCTTTTAGGGTTGAAGGTTCAGGGCTCTAAAAGGGGGTTTTAGGATTTTAGGGCTTTAGGGGTTTATGGTTTGGGGGTTTACACGGGTTTTAGGTTTAGGGCTTTAGGGTTTTAGGGTTTAGGGTTTAGGGGTTTCAAAGGGGTTTTAGGTTTTGGGCTTTAGGGTTTTAGGGTTTGGGGTTTAGGGCTTAAGGGTTCGAAAGGGGTTTTAGGTTTTGGGCTTTATTGTTTGGGGTTTAGGCTTTAGGGGTTTAGGGTCTAGGGGTTTGGGGGTTTAGGGTGTCTGAGACAAAGACGGTGATTTGACACGAAACGCTTGGACGCCAGGCCCTCGGCCCCTAGGCGCCTAACCCACGCATGCCCTCAGTTCCTACTTGGAGGGTCGGGGGACTTAGTAATTGGTTATTTTAGGGACTTATAAGTACCATAACCCCAATTAGGGTCCCTTTTAGGGTACTTATAAGTCTACTTATTACCTACTTACTAAGTCCCCCGACCCTCCAAGTAAAGCTTCACCAAGCCCGGAAACCCTAAACTCGCAAAGACTTGCGCCCTGTATAGTTCCTCCAAACGCACTGCGATTTCGGACATTACCCATTTGGAGCCTTGCTCAGCTCTATAGAAATCCTGAGCCGCAACCATGAACCTTTTCAGACCCAAAACCCTAAACCCTAAAACCCCAAACCCCAAACCCTTAAACCCCTAAAGCCCTAAACCCTAAACCCAACCCAAAGCTATTCTGGAGCCAATATCTGTGAACTTAAGCAGGACCCCTAGGTATATACCCTTAATATAGCTATGATATACCCATGATATAGCCCATTACAGGGTAGGGGTCCCCATTAAGGGTCCCTCCTTTTTCCCCTTTGAACTACCGCACTCTCCAAACCCGAAACTCAATCATCCGAGCCCCCAAGCAGTTGAAATTGGCCTAGGCTCAGGGTTTAGGGTTTAGGGTTTAGGGCCGTTTAGGGTTTAGGTATTAGGGTTTAGGGTTTAGGATTAGGGTTTAGGGTTTAGGGCCGTTTAGGGTTTAGGTATTAGGGTTTAGGGTTTAGGATTAGGGTTTAGGGTTTAGGGTTTATTAAGGGCCCCGAAACCCCCGAAGTCTGAAACATCGCTTTGGGGCGCTTTCCTGCTCTGTTGCAGGTTGCGACATGAAACCTGAGAGCCCGGGGGTGCTTCTCATACGAGCCCGGTCACCTAGGAGTTTCCCAAAAAATAGGGCACCCTAATATAGTACCCTAAATACTAGGATCCTTATTATGAGGACCCCAAATAAGGTACCTCTAATTTTCGGAAACTCCCACATGGACCTGTTGGGCTGGCAAAGCAAGGCTTTCGAGGGCTCCTGGCTTGCAGTGCGTCGCATAACGGGTTTCTGGTTGAGGGTTCAGGGTTTAGGGTTTAGGGTTTGAATTGAAGTTCCATTACAGCGCTTGGGCTATTGGTGGGCAGTACTGAATGCGAGTTAGGCTTCTTGCTAAAGCTTGAGCGCTTTGAGGCTGTGCTTGGTTATTCGCCGAATTCGGCTAGGCACTGTAGTCCTGAAGTGGACTTTGACGTCGGAGGTGCTTGATCAGGACAATCCTTCCGGGTAGTCTTTGACTGCGGTAATGTAGGAACCTGATTAAGAAACCTTGGGCCTTTATTAGGGTTCCTTATATGAATCCTACTATTGTGGGGTTTAGTATTGGTAATTATTTAGGCCCCTATATTATACAAGTCCCTGCCATGAGAAGCTGTCTCACTCCTTCGGCAACTTTCCCAAAGTCTGGCAAGCTGCCAAATACTGCCGATCTAGAAAGGGGAGTTTCCGAAAATTATGGATACCTTATTATGGGGTCCTTATAATAGGGATCCTACTATTTAAGGTACTATATTCGGGTCCCCTATTTTCGGCAACTCCCATATCCTGAAGCCCAACGCCGAATCGACAGGAGCTGTAGCGCATGGCAAGCTGCGTCTAAGCCGGAACTAGTGGAACTATTTGTCCGGATTCCTCTTTTTGGGTTGGGTTGCTTCAGTTGCCACGGCCTCGTCCCGCATGACAGTCAACTCAGAGCATTGTCTAGGGGCCCCAAACAGGACACGAACATAAGCCGCTTACAGGGATATTCCTAACTTTTCCGGGCGTATTCATATTCCTAAGTTGTGGGGCCGCAGAAAATCAGGGTGTGCACAAAAGGTATCCATGCTTGGCAGTATTCCTACATGCGCTTGTTGTGCCGAAGTATCCCCTCTGAGAGGAACTGGGCTTCGCGTCGGATTGAATCAAGATCTGCAACTTATGCTACCGCAGCTTTGTTTAAAGTTGTATCCTCATACTTTGCTTTAGTGTCGACGCTAGTAAGAAAGGAGCCTACCCCAAACATCGTGGAATATACTACGTAGCTAGGGCAAGGCTGAGGATTCCATGTTGGGGCTTGGGATGAGAATGAGGCTTGTGCCACGCATCAAGCACGTGCTTTCTGGGGAGAAAAAATCTCAACATCCGCGATTGAGCTCTTCCTAAATCACCCACAGGAGGGTTTGAATTTTACTTGAGCTACTGATAGCACCGGTATTTCAGCGTGCTTCGAGGGTATGCAGTACAGGGTTTTGAAGGTCTGCCGGGTCTCAGGATTTAGCCCCGGGGGCGGGGTGTAAGGGACGAGCCTAATGCCGAAGCCCTACTTGAGCTTCTTTAGTACGTAGGTAAGTACCCTCATGCTAATTATTTGGGATATGGTGCTTATAACTCTATTAAACTATTAACTGACTGCTTAGTAACTCCTCCGACCCTCCAAGCAAGCCCTGAGCTCCAGAATCCAACATTCCAGGGACGCCGCTCCTCCATCCTCCCGCCCGTAAGCCCTAAACCCTAAAGCACGAAACCACCTAAACCCATGAAGCTTTCAAAAGTTAAGCCTAAACCTAGAACCAACGATTTTCAAAGTCTGAACCCCAAAGCCGCAAGGTATTATCGGGGCCCGAATAGTTGCTAGTACGTACTAGGCTGGATATTCCACCCTCCCCAAAAAATTATCATCATCAATGCCCCTACACTCCACCCTTTAATGAGCCTTGCGGTCACCCTTACAGAAACCGTATAGAACCCTGACCCTGTATTGAAATCAAACCTAGCTGATAAGGCCCAAATATTATGAAGGCTGGGCTCGACATGGGTTCGCTTGGAGGTTCATGGGTAGTTATAAGTGGGGTTAGAATTAGGGTAACTATGGTTATAACCCCCATTAGGGGACTTATAACCCCATTTATAACTACCCATAAGCCTCCAAGTACGGGCTGAATAAACGGCGCTTGTAAGCCTTCTATAAGGGGGCTTCTACAACGGATGAGTATTAATTGCAAGAGCCCGATTAGGCAACTAGAAGGGGACCCTAAACCCTAAACCCGTAAACCCTTAGCCCCAACGCATACTGTTTTGAATATTCAGGGTCTGAAACGAGGCTCCGGGGATTCATCCTGGAATCTTCAAGAGGCAGAGTCGGGATCTGCAGGGGGTTCTCGGCTCGGGAAGCTGGATTTCTTGCTCAGGGCTGAAGATCTTGTTGCCTTGTAGCCATGCGCTTGCTACCGTGGACGATCTAAACCCTGCATTACCCAGAATCAGGAACATACCATACTTCCCGTAGTCTAGGGTCATGCAAGGTTTATATCATCAACCCTAAACTCTGAACCCTCAAACCCTATAGATCCCTTGCATGAACGATCCCCTTAAAGGTGCCCTTTATAGATTCCTTTAAAAGAATCGTAGGATTTATATCATAAAGCTGTAGTAAAGATCCTTCCGCTGCGAGGACGGGCGGGTCCTTTCTGCGGTGCGGCTCCATCCCTCCAGCTCTGTCGGGGGGCCTTTTGGGGGGATTCGTGGATGTAGGGTTTCGGGTTTAGGAATTTGGGGATGTAGGGTTTAGGGTTTAGGAATTTCAGGTTCAGGTGTTAGGGTTTAGGGCACTGTTTTTGCTTCGCTTGTGCTCGCAGCACCTCGCAGGCTCGTAAAGTCTTGAATTGGAGCTTAACTAGAAATCGTAACTACCTGGAGCATCCTAAATCAATCCCTAAGCCCATACCTCAAACCCCGACTCATCGAACCCAATGGTTTCGACGCCAAGCCACATGTGGGGGGTTTCCGAAAATTAGGGGTGCCTTATATTGGAGTCCTTATGATAAGGATCCTACTATTTAGGGTATTATCTTAGGGTCCCCAATTCTCGGAAAATCCCAAGTCTCTTTTGAAAGATCGTTGCGACCAAAATAAGGTTCCCGTCGTAGTCCCTAAGCCAAGAAGTTGCAAGCTCCCCGAAGCTTTGCCAGACGTTCCTGAGCCGTATAGCCTACGCCGCAGCTGTGGCTTTGTGTATAGTATATATCAACAGCCCAAAAGATTTGAAGAGCTTTACGCTGAGACGTAAAACCCGAGATGCAAAAATCTGCGAGGTTTATCCACCTGCTGTGCGGTCGACCAGCCGGTCGTCGACAGTGCGAAGCTACGCCGGGAAGCCTGCGCGGAGCGGGGGGTCTTGGGCCTTAATTGAAACCCAGAGAGCCCAATACCCCTTAATTAAGGCATATGGCTTAAATTATATAGGGCCTCATATTATGATTTAAGCTATATTCCTTAATTAACGGGTTTTGGGCCTTAAATGAAATCTAGACCATGACATTGGGCCCAACATCCATACTTTCATATGCTGTGCAGTATACTATTACGATATACTATCATATACTAGGAGATACCGTGAAAAACTATAATATACTATGATATACTACAAGGAGTGCATAAGACTTCGTTACTTCAGGGCTAGCGGCCTTGTCAGCTCATGTCCCGGCCTTCAGCTTTCGCGATGCCGGGAATCGGTGGCCCTAGACCCCGAACCCGCCCTAAACCCCTAAACGCCCCGGTTTAGGGTTTAGGGTTTACCGCTGAGCCCTATACTTAGGGACCGTGTTCAGCCAGTTCCCGATGGTCTGCTTTCGCTGCAATTCCCTAAAATAAGGGTCTAAACAGTTTGCAATACTATGTTTGGGGGCTCCTTGCTATGATTATATCATAATGGGCCCAAAACCTTATTCTAATTATTGAGGGCCCCATATGCCGAACCCTAATGGGCCCGAAACCTTATTCTAATTATTGAAGGCCCCATGTACAGAACCCTCATGGGCCCAAAACCTTCTAATTAGCAAGGGCCCCAGATTCCAAGTACCTAATAATCATCTACTCTCCCAAATGTAGAGCTCCATAACTACTATCCTAAAACCCAAGTACCTTATTATTGGGTCCTTTGGACCCTTAGGCTTAAGGGCCCCATATATCGAACCCTCGGCCTTCAGTTTAGGGCTGTTCTCATCGCCTTGATGCACGAAAGTTCGTTAGAACTTACCCTAAACCCTAAACCCCTAGACCATAAACCATAAATTACTTACCCTAAACCCTAGACCCCTAAGCCCCTAACCCCCTAGACCATAAACCCTAAAACCCTAAACCGTGTTGGTTTGGTTCGGCTTCGTTTCTGTAAATGTGTGCACGCATGGAGCCCAGAAGGCTTTCAAGCAAGCAGAAGAGCACGGAGCCCAGCCTTTTGGGGTCCTTATAATAAGGATCTTACTATTTAGGGTACTATATTAGGGTCCCCTATTTTCGGAAAAAGCACGGAGCCCAGCATCCTTGAACACGAAGCCCTCAAGGATGTTACCAACAAAATTCAAAGGGTTCAGGAGCTCTAGCAGCCTGGAACCTCCCTAAAACCCGAAGCCCCAAACACCACACCCTACAACCCTTCCCAAAAACCCTAAAACCCTCAAGCCCTACACTCTAAAACCGTATGCTCGTATGAGCAGGAGCCGTCAGGTCACCGCTGCACTTTAAAAAACAATCTAAACCCCCAAACACCCTAAACCCTCAAGCCCTACACTCGAACCCAGACACCCCCAAACCCAAACCCTAAACCCTAAACCTTAAACCCTAAACCCTAAAACTCTAAAACCCTGAACCCTCTAAACCCTAAACCCCAAAACCGTAATCCCCCGACACCCCCAAACCCAAAGCTTCGACCCGCTCCTCCAGGTCTGCGGCCTCCCTGCCTGACGCCGGGCTGCGAAGGCGGGAGGCGGCGTAGCTTAGAGTTTAGGGTTTAGGGTTGTGGGTTTAAGGTTTAGGGTTTAGGGTTTAGCATGAGTTTTTCGACGGATGTACATGGTTTTGGGGCGGTTTTCATGAGGTTTGGTGGGGCGTTGTACAGGTTGTTTCGCAAGGTTGAGAGTTTTGTGGGCTGTGTCGTGTTGGACGGCCGGGGATGTCAGAATTGACACAGTGAGCTTTAGTTGTTTCGGAGCTGCGGTAAAGCCTTCATTTCGGCGCCCCCTCCTCCCACCCACTTTCGCGAACATGGACCGCCTTGGCCTTATCATGACATGCCATGTATTGAAGGAACGCCGAGCTTGTGCAAGTATATGCCTCAAAACATCATCCACAGCAGATGTTGAGCACCAAGATCACAAGCGGATGGAGATAGTTTGCCGGCTGGCTCATTCCGCGCCGCCGTTTCGGAGCTGCGGAGAAGGCAGTGGCCTTATGAAGCGTGCGCTTGCGTCGTTGCCCTGGACAGCAGCGGTCGTGGACGAATCGGCCCATTGGTTGTCCCAGATCTTCGCGGCGCTTGCCAGAATCGGTCCGGTCTTTTGCATTTATACTGGCCATGACTTTCAGTGCTTGCCGGGTTTGGAGGCCACACCGGAGTATCGCCGAGGGGCCTGGGCGTCTGCATTCCCACCGAGCAGACGCCGACGGTTCCAAGTGGAGAAACCCCGTGCCCCAAAGCCTATTTGCAAGATCAGAACCCTAAGCCCCAAGCCTGAGACCTTCCGCTGTTTCTGTTGGGGAAATACGTGCTTAGAAAATTTGGAGACGCGAAAACTGGACCCTAGAACCCTAGGCCCTAGAACCCAACCTGCAGGAGAAAGATGCAAGGAAACCCGAGATCCGAAGTTAGGGTTCCATAGACACTACGTACGGCTTTGGGACATTTTATATTTTCCCTTATTGGGCTTAAGAGGATCTTATTTACTAATATTTTCCAAAAGCTTTAAAAGCCCCACCTGGGACATGTTTTTTCGGTCCGTCATGTCCCCGGACCCTAAACCCTAGGGGTCTCTCTCTCTCTCTCTCTCTCTCTCTTCTCGCTGTTTCCCTCTCTCTCACTCTCTTTATAGATATGTATATACATATATATATATACATATATGAGTACATGGTATGTGTATGAAACTATATATGTAGATGTCTTTGTGTATACATCGGCACAACATATGCATGCGACTGTATATATATATATATATGTATATATATATATATATATATATGTATATATATATATGTATATATATATATACAGTTATACATGTTTTGTGGGCCTTTCATAGTCTCCTTCTCCCATGTGCTTCTGCAGAGCCTCCTTAGCCTGCCTCAGAGTCTGACCAGGAAGTTGGAAGCAGTTTCTTGATCAAGTTTCCTCCGTTCAGCTCGGATTCCAAGGCTCCTAGCGATGCGTCCTACATTTAGGAAATTTAGGACAGATTGATGCGTGGCTACATGGCAATAGAATCATAACACCCTTAACCCTTTAAACCCACAGCCCGAAGCTCCGAAGCATTACGGTGGGCACAGGGCCGTGAGGCTCTAGGGTCAGCAGGCCATGTGCTGCTCTAAGACTTCGGACTACATACTACACGGCACGGAATATTTGGTAATAAGATCCCCTTGCCCTTCATATGTAACTACAGTGGAGCACCTTGTCTTAGTCCTTAAGGCCCGTATATAGCAGCAAGCCTCCATCATCCCTCTGAAACGCCATCCTTTTGCTAAGTCGCTATAAGTTTGATGCTTGCAGAACTGTAAGAACCCAAACCACGCTGCTCGAGCCCTAGAAATCCCGGCGCGAGCCTTTAAGATTCCAGGCGCGGTTGTACCATACTGAGTCGGCTGTTTTGCGCGCAGACAATTCCTTACACCCTGATGTTGCATTCCCGAAGCAAGGCACAACATCGTGACAACATCGCGCATGCTGTGCTGACACGTAGCTGGAGCCCCTGGAAAGAGCGGATAAGCAATTTCCCATACTTCTTGACGTGCAGAAATATAAGGCCCTTGGTTACCTTTAGACCTTACCCCACCTCTGTCGGCGTGATGAAGCGGCCTTCTCGTGTTGCTGCAGACAAAAGGGTGTTGAGTCTCGAGCATATACCACCGTCGAGATGGCTACATCTTGTAGACTGCACGTTTCCCCGAGCCAACTTCCCAGAAAAAGCAGATAAAGACATTTCGACAGCTTCGCTTGACCTTTAAACAGCAACAATCAGCACCTAAAACCCACTAACCGAACCTCTACATCCTCCCCAACCCGAAACCCTACAACAGTAACCCCACAACCCCAACGCACTAAAATTGAAAAAAGCTAAACAACACTTACACAGCCAACAACCGTAACTTTCGCCTGTGCAGCTTTGAGGTTGAGGATTCGAAAGACCACAAGACGAATTCCTGAAGAACCGGTCACAAAAGCAGAAATGTAAAGACGGTGGTCGTGCTGAAAGGGGGGGGGTTCGGGCTTTCAGGTTCGGAGTTGAGGGGTTCGCGTTCAGGACTTGAACCCTACACTCCTACACCCGGTTTAACTTTGCGGTTTAGGGTGCAGGGTTTACAACAGTGACGGAAAATCTCATCGAGCGTCTTCTCGATGGGGCGATACTTATCTGGCAGACTTCTCAACTTACCGGGCAGGGTTGCGTTCGGGCTCCAGACAGACAGCAAAAGGCTGTCTGCCGCCGTCGTTTGTCACGGACATGTACTTCCAAATCCAAGATTTGGACACTAGGCAAGTCAGTTGATCTAGAATCTAGACAGCAATCCAGGGTTTAGGGTTTAGGGTAATTATAGGGGTAGAGCGTTTCCTGGCCCGTAAAGCCCAAACTGTAAACCCTTTCTCCGACTTTCCGCGCTCCTGCCGTCCTGCCGTGCGCAATGATTGGCTCACAGCTGTTGCTAGGATGCGCCTGCGAACCCCTGCGTGGCCAACATGGAGTACCAGTACATGCATGTCTGCCTTTTCGGTTTCAAAGTATTGAAAAGTTTCCGAACCGCGATCTAATCGCCAGACATTCGGAAGCCATGCGCCCCCGAAACCCTAGAAGACCCTGAAGCCCTCAAGCTCTTGTCCCCCTTCACGGCGGCATAGAGGCAGAGTGAGTAGGCTGAGTAGGCGAGGCAGCAGCAGCTGGGCAACGCAAGGACCTTGGCGCAAAGCCTTCTCGATTTTTGGTTGGGGCATCTGTACAAGGGCTCTAGAAGTCCTCTACTCTATACCGATTCAGGTTTGGGGTTGGGGATTGTAGGATTAGGGTTTAGGGGTTCAGGGGCTCATGGATTTTGGTGTTGACTTTTGGAGGGCCCTTTATAATTACCTATACTATTCGGGGGGGGTCCTTACTGTAAGGATAGTATAACATACCCCAAAACCCTATTCTGCTTAATGAAGGCCCCCACATAGATCCCTAATCGAACCAGGAATTGAATCCTTGTAATGCCCTTGAAAGGAGCCCTAGTCTTGTAACCCCAAACCCTAGACCCTAAAACCCTAAGCCCTAAACCCTAAAACCCTAAGCTCTTAACCCTAAACCCTAAAACCCCAAACCCCTAAACCCTAAAACCCCAAACCCCTAAACCCTAAAACCCTAAACCCCTAAACCCTAAAACCCCAAACCCCTAAACCCCTAGAACCCCAAACCCCTAAACCCTAAAACCCTAAAACCCTAAACCCCTAAACCCCTAGAACCCTAAACCCCTAAACCCTAAAAACCCTAAGCTCTTAACCTAAAACCCCAAACCCCTAAACCCTAAATCCCCAAACCCCTAAACCCTAAGCTCTTAACCTAAAACCCCAAACCCCTAAACCCCCAAACCCTAAAACCCCAAACCCCTAAACCCTAAAACCCTAAACCCCTAAACCCTAAAACCTTGCAAGTGGCACTGTCAAGTCATGCAGGCCAGGTTCAACGTCTTGTCCAGCAAAGTCGAAGGCAAAAGCAACTGTCCTCGCGAAGGTTGCCCCACAGCAGAAGGTCAAGGCTCAACCCAATGTGCCGAAGCCCAAGGTGGCCGCCCCAGCTGCGCCAGCGCCCTCACCAGGCACGGTGTCTGTCGCCACAACTGGCGTTGAGACAGCGCATGCCACTGCTGAGTCGGCAATCACAAATCGGGGGCTTGCTGAACGCCCCGCTCTCCGATGCGATGGATGCTGTCGCAGTGGCGTTTGCCTCCGTGGTGTGCGGCGTGCTCGCACGAGCTGTCGTTGTTGTTGGGGCAAACATGATGGCCGCAGGCGCTTCACCGATCACCTGGCGTTCCAGCTGCGTGATCGCAATTGGCATCACGATGGGTGTGGTAGCCTGGCAGGCAAGGTTGGCAGGGAACAGGGGGGTCGGAAGAGGAAGAGGATGCAGGGACCGATGAAAGAGAGGAGATGGATGAGCTCTATGTGACTGAGGGGTTTGAGACTACGGCCGAGTATGACACTCCTGAGACTGCATGGGCAAACGATGCTGCTGTTACAACGGGAGATGCTTCTTTGCCTTCTGAAGGTCCTGGGGTTGAGGAGGTGCTTCAAGAGTTTCTTGATCGTGAGGGTCGTAACTATGACTCATGGGGATGCCCCACGTGGACCCCGACTGTGCAGTCGCCACCAGATGTGGAGTTTAGGGTTTAGGGTTTAGGGTTTTGGAGTTTTGGGTGCAGGGCTTAACCCCGAAGACCCTACAGTTTTAAGGACTTATATAGAGAAGATTCTAGTAAGGAGCCTTTTAAACAGGTAGGGTATTCAGGGTTAAGGTAGGGCTTAAGGGGTTCTTGCCGTTTCTCTGACTTAAACTTTTGGGGCTTCTATATGAACTGTAGTAAGGAGGCTAAAAGTTTAAGTTGTAGGAGGGGTTCAGAATTCAGCCAAGGTTTGGGGGTTTCGGGTTTTAGGTTCCAAGGTTTCGGGTTCAGGGATTTGGGTTTAGCAAGGGTTTAGGGTTTTAGGGTTTAGTTTAGGG